TTGAATTAGTTCTAGTGAAAAATGTTAAGGACCTGACCAGAGATAATTGTAGCTGTGATATAAATAGCTTTAAAAAAAAAAAAAAGTTTTAGGATGAGTATGTTGGTACATCCCAACACACAGAAAGGGGACGTAGGAAAATATATAGTTATGTGAGTTGAAGACCAGACTTAGCTACAAAGCAAGGCTCTATTCTAAAACAAAACTTCTAAGAAAGTTTTCATTTTCTGTGTAATCTTAATGCAACCTGGTGTTTTTTAAACTCAGCATTAGATTTATGGAACTTGTCTATATTGATGTTGGTAACCAAGGTTTCTGTATCTTTGAAATTTCTATTTTTATTTTATATGTATGAATATATTGCCTGTGTCATGCAGTGCCCACAGAGGTCAGAAGGCAGTGTCAGATTCCCCCAGAACTGGAGTTACTGATGGTTGTTAGCTGCCATGTGGGTGCTGGGGATTGAACCCACATCCTCTGCAAGAGCAGCCAGTGCTCTTAACTGCTGAGCCATCTCTCCAGCCCCTGTATCTTTTAAGAATGGTTTGTTGTGTGTACCATAAGAGGGCAGTGAGTTGGGCAGTATCTGGACTGTCTGCGACCAACTCCCTATGTCTTCTTTTGCTATATAACTTTACATTGTAAGAATATGCTACTATATTTCCTGTTGGTTTCCTCTTCTGCATTCTTTGATATAAACAGTGTTGCTATGAACACTCATACAGTCTCGTACACATGAACAAGGATTCTTTTTAGATCTGTAGACCAGTAGATCCTTTGTCACATTTTTATTATAAGTATTTTACCTCATTTGTAGCTTGCTTAACATTCAAAGATTGCCTTTTCATTTATTTCTTTTTCTGTAATTAACCATCTCTTATGCTTAGTGCTTTTTTTTAATCTTCTTCCCTTGTATGTGGTCATAGTTTTGTTTTGCTTTGTGGTTGTTGTTTTTTTTTACTTTTTAATTTAAATCTGCAGCTTATTTAAACCATTTATTGAACAGCCTTATATTAGTTATGTTACTATATGACAGATTGCCCAGACTAGTGGCTTAAAACAACAGGTATTTATTACCTCAGTTTCTACCGGGCAGGAGCCATATAGCTGTATGGTTTTGGTTCAGGTCTTCCCTTGAGGTTGCAGTCATCTGTTGGCCAGGGTTGGACTAATCCCAAGACCTCCAGCTCACTCATGACTGTCTACAGGCCCCAGAGGTTCCACTTCTAAGCTTAGTCATGGGGTTGCTGGCAGTCCTTGGTCCCATGCCATATAAGTCTTTGAAGTTGTTGGAGATCTAGCTCAGTGGTAGAGTACTTAGCATGTGCAAGGTCCTGAGTTCAGTTTCTAGCATTTGGGGTCGTGAGTGGGGGTGGAGGAGAAAGGACATACGTACTGGACATAATAGCTCATGCCTGTACATTCCAACACTCAAGTTATTGAGGATCACTATGAGTTCCATGCCAGCCTGGACTATAGAGTGAGACCCTTTCTCAAAAATAAATTAATTAATTAAATTAAATTAAATAAATAAAAAGTTATCTGAGTATTAACCCCCAACATGGCAGCAAGCTTCCTGAAGTAATGAAGCTCAAGAGAATAAGATGTAAGTTGAAGTCTTTTGTGTTTTTGTTTTTTTAATTTAAAACAGAGTCTCATATATTAGGCTGGCCTCAAACTCACTATATAGCTGTCCTAGTTTGTTCTTCATTGCTGTGACAAAATACTCTGACCAATACCAACTTGGGGAGGAAAAGGTTTATTTAGCTTACATATCCCGGGTCACAGTTCATCTGGGAGCCCAAGGTAGAAACTCAGGGCAGGAACCTGGAGGCAGGAGCTAGAGCACAGGCCATGGAGAATCACTGTTTACTGGCTTGCTCTCTGGCCCCTGCTCAGCTTGCTCTCTTATCCAACACAGGCCCACCAGCCCAGGGGTGGCACTACCCATAGTGGGCTGGGCCCTCCCACATCACTCAACAATCAAGATGCCCCACAGACATGGCCACAGGCCAGTCCAATGGAGTCAGTTCCCCAATTGAGGCTCCCTCAACCCAGGTGTGTCAAGTTGACACTAAAGCTATCCAGCACAGTAGCTAAGGGTGACTTTGAATTTGTGATCCTGCTGCCTCTGCCTCCAAGTGCTAGGGTGATAGGCCCCTGTCACTATGCCCAGTTTATATAGTACTAGGGACTGAACCCAGAGTTTCTTCTATGCTAGGCAAGCATACTACCAACTGAGCTACATCCCCAGGCCAGAACTTGAAATTTTACTATAAGAAGGAACCCATTTCTTGGGCTATATTCAGTTACTCTGTATAGTTCAGACTTAAGGGAAGAGAAATTAAGCCCTTCCTCTTGGTGGAAGTTGTACCAAAGTATCTGAACGTATCTTTAAAATCAAAGCACTCCTTGCTCAGTGATGTGTAGTGCCAACTCTGTATATAAAAATTTTCAAGATAGTTCAGTCTATTTCTGGCCTCTTTATTTTGTTCATTGGTTCAATTTGTTTACTTCATTTTTCTTTTTTCTAACCTTAAATGCAAATTTAGTCCCAAGATTCATTTTTTGTTTTTTTTCACTCTATATGTTCATGCATATTTATTCCAAGAGACTATCCATTGTGTTTTGTTTTGTTTTTATTTGTACATTTTTGGGTTTTTTACTTTTTTTTTTTTTTTTTTGAGACAGGGTCTCCCTGTAGCCCCAGCTGACCTGGAACTTCCTATGCAGACCAGACTGGTCTCAAACTCACAGAGATCCACCTCCCTCTGCCTCCCAAGTGCTGGGATTAAAGGCATGTACCACCACCACCACCACCGTGCCTGGCACATTTTTGGTTTTTTCAGACAGGGTCTACCTATAGCCTCAACTGTCCTTGATCTCAAAGAGATCTGACTGCCTCAGCCTCCTGAGTCCTGGGATTAAAGGTGCATGCCACCATGTCCAGCTACCTATGAATTTTTTTTTTTTTAATGTGTATGAGTATACTGCCTGCATATAGGTAGGTGCAACCATGTCATCTAATGCCTGCAGAGGTCAGAAGAGAGCTTCGGATCCCCTGGAACTGGAATTACAGATGGTTGTTAGCTGTCATGTGGGTGCTGGGACTGAAACCTGAGTCCTCTGCAAGAGCAACCAGTGCTCTTAACTGCTAGACTGTCGTAAACTATATGTGGATACTTCCTCAGACTCTTCATAACTGTAGCCAGATTCTTTTTATAGATCTCTTTTTGAGGAAAAAAAAAAAAAAAAAGCCCTTG